GCGCTCCCTCAGCACTGACCCTCCGACAGCACGGCGCTCCCTCAGCACTGACCCTCCGACATCGCGGCACTCCCTCAACACTGACCCTCCGACAGTGCCCACTCCCTCAGCACTGATCCTCCGACAGTGCGGCGCTCCCTCAGTGCTGACCCTCACCTTCCTATGGGGAGCACAGCAAGCCTCATAGTATTGGAGCCTACCGTAGACCTGGAGGGAGATGATGAGAGTGTTCGCCCTGAGGTTCGAGCCTCCTGGCGTGTCGACTCTGATAGTGTAGTTCCCTTCGTCGCTCAGGCGGGTCTCCCTGATGGTCAGCGAGCTGTTCCTGTGGAGGCTCACCCTGTCCGTGTAGGCCGTGCCTTCCTTCACCTCCAGGCGGCCATTCAACCGGGTGAGGATGGTGCTCGCCGTGGGGTCGAGCCACACGACGGAGTACAGCTCGGAATTGTTGGCCACAGACAGCGTGGTATTCCAGCCTACTCCGCTCTGCACCGGATTCCTCTCGGCTGTGATCTCAACCTGGGCTTGTCCTGAACAGGGTAACACCCAGGGGGCTGCGTAGAGAGAGAGAGAGATGGAGGGAACCAAGTTAACCCAGGATCAGTCAGCAAGGATGGCCAATTGTCCTGATTTGATCATCTGGGAGTTGGGACTTCATGGTGAGGCTCATGTTAGGCCAGTTTGGGAATTGCTGCGTTCAATTCTGCTCAAAGGAAAGGAATGTTGTGAAACCTGAAAGGGTTCAGGAAAGATTTACAAGGATGTTGCAGGGTTTGAGCTATAGGGAGAAGCTGAATAGGCTGGGGCTATTTTCCCAGGAGTTTCGGAGGCTGAGGGTTCAGAAAATATTTACCAGCTCGTTGCTGGGAATGGAGGGCTTGAGGTATAATGAGAGGCTGGGACTTTTTTTCACTGGAGTGTAAGAGGCTGAGGAATGACCTCATGGAGGTTTATAAACTCATGAGGGGCATGAATATTATGAACAGTCCCTTTTCCCCCAGGGTGGGGGAGTCCAAAACTAGAGGGGCATAGGTTTAAGGTGAGAGGGGCAAGATTTAAAAGGGACCTGAGGGGCAACTTTTTCACACAAAGGGTGGTGCGTGTATGGAACGAGCTGCCAGAGGAAGTGGTGGGGGCTGGTACAATTATAACATTTAAAAGGCATCTGGATGGGCACATGGATAGGAAGGGTTTAGAGGGATATGGGCCAAATGCTGGCAAATGGAACTAGTTTAGTTTGGGATTATGGTTGGCACAGACAAATTGGGCCGAAGGGCCTGTTTCCGTGTTGTATGGATCTGTAGCTCAGTCATGCGCAAGGCCAGGCCATTCAGCCCAAACCCTGTTGTGCCTGTCCTGGGTTCTTCCAAAGTTGCCATTTAACACTGAGACACAACATGTGCTCACCCTCCCAGTGCCAGGGAGAGCAGACACCCCCCCACCCAACACCACCCTCGGCTCAGTCTCAAGGATACCCCAGCTTGAAGAGTGAGTCCTCAGTGGGAACCTATTCCGTGATGGGGCCAATATAATTCCGGGATGCCCCTTCCTCTCTTTCATGCCTCATCTGCGATTCAAGTCACCATGCCTTCTCGGTTTCACCCCTCACCCATGGCAAGGTGGTGACCTTCAGGTTAAACCTGCCACCCCCTCCCCTCTTGGGAGAGAGGGCTCTGGGTTGCTAAGAGGCAAAACCTCCAGGGCGCGTTGAGCACAAACAATCATGCATCCCTCGAGCATTTCAGATTAATGGGATCGGGAGATCACCCATTCGAGAGGTTGGAGGTACTCCAAGGATTCAACAGGCCTCAGAAAGGGAGACTGCTCCCCTTGATGGTGGGGCGGAGTGTCAGCAGCAAAGGAACTTCTCCCCCCGCACCATCCCACCTCCTCTCCAGTCTTTACCCCTTCCCCCCCATTTCTCCTTCTTTTGGTTATCCTTTTCTCCCTCAGTCAGTCCCCGAGTCTATTTCCTCCCTCTGTCTCTCCCCGGGGCCAACTTTTAGCACCGTTTAAAATCGATGGATGGAATTCCAGGATTCTGACCCAGCGACACTGAAGGAACGGCGATATATTTCCCAAGTCAGGATGGGGGGGTGGCTCGGAGGCGAACTTGCAGGGGGTGGTGTTCCCATGTTTCTGCTGCCCCTCGTCCTTCCAGATGGAAGTGTTCATGGGTTTGGAAGGTGCTGCCTGAGGATCTTCGGTGAATTTCTGCAGAGCATGGACTTGTTGGGCCGAAAGGCCTTTTTCCACACTGTAGGGATTCTATGATCTATGATCTATCTTGTAGATGGTACACACTGCTGCGACTGAGCGTCAGTGGGGGAGGGAGTGGGATGTTTGTGGACGTGGTGCCAATTGAGCGGGGGCTGCTTCGTCCTGGATGGTGTTGAGCTTCTTAAGTGTTGTTGGAGCTGCCCCCATCCAGGGGCAAGTGGGGAGTATTCCATCACACTCCTGACTTGTGCCTTGTCGATGGTGGGACAGGCTTTGGGGGGAGTCAGGAGGGGAGTTACTCACTGCAGGATTCCCAGCCTCTGACCTGCTCTTGTAGCTGCTGTGTTTATGTGCTGAGTCCAGTTGAGTTTCTGGTCAATGGTAACCCCCAGGATGTTGAT